ACACATAAATATCTAGATTAAAACCACAGCATTGACTGTGCTATTAATGATGTAGTGTATGCTACTGATGTCGAGAGACATAAGTAGTACGTATCAACAATAGAAAGTGAAATGCTTGGCGACAGAAGGTTATGAAGATTGAAGAAAAGAGAACGAGAACAGAGAATGATTGGTGTGGAAACGAAAAAACAATGAATTCTGAGACGATTGATTGATATTTTGCAGATGAATTATTGAAAGTAGCTAACAACAACCACTAGTGGGGGATGAATGTGATTAATTTCAAGGCATACTCCCATTCGGGGTCTTCAACTATACATTTAACGATTATTCTGAGGACCACAGCCAGAACTCTGCATCCACCAGAACTAGTTAATAACTTAATAAACACTGATACCATGCATTAGTTTCACCAATAGATTGCACTGGATGTCAGAGATAGCGTAGGAGTAAGAATATTTACACATGTTAACTAAAAAGGACTAACTGACAAGTTAAACAGAACTTTTTCTGAAGTTACAGTTACTTTATTCAATAATTTTACATATCACCTACATACAACACTAAACATGCAAACTAGCCTAGTGAATATGCCATTATAGGGAAAACGCAACACATTATTGACTAGTTACCAAACTCCTTTCAGTTGACTACGATAATTGGTAATCAGTGCAAGACTAATCACAAATACTAACCACTGCCGGATGAGAAGTTTGGACAAAATGGATCAATAAGATTGATAGGATCGTTGTTATTAAACTACCAAAGTTTAAGTAAGAAATATCAATACACGGGAGAAAAAAGTGATGGGATGTAAAAAAAATAATTGTTACACACACTTCTATTCAATAGTATAATTAGTGAATCGATCTTGGCATCCTGTTCATATATATATATATATATATATATATATATATATATATATATATATATATATATATATATATATATATATATATGACTTATGTTTGAAATTAGGGATGTTATTTTGACTTTGGTGAGATTTCTTGGACAACAGGCGAATATTCTTAGTATTCGTGTCATAAATCTCTATGAATGGTACGCACAACAATACAAACTGTATGAAGTTATTTGGATTATTGAATAAAAGTTATGCTTTCCTTCGGGTTAGTGAAACAGATGGTAGATACAATATAAAGTTACGAAATCTAAAACGTTAAACTACTCCAGCGTGATGAGCTTCACAGTGTTTATCATATTATTTTCTTTATTACCTTTGTTTCCTCTTACCCTCCATTTGTCTAGTTGACCATTTATTTTTATATATAAATGTTATTAACGAGTATGTGTGATCAGATTGTTCGAAATGTATTGCGCTAATATAACACATATTTCTGATAATCTTCGTCTCCCCGTTACACTACACAGATTTAGCAAAGGGACTAAGTGCGTTAAACTGCTCCAATTGTTTTTAAACAGAAATGGATAGTGGCTAGTAGTGGGATCATCCTGTTTGGGACTCGCCAGTTGGATATACATGCATCCCACAGTCCATGGTCCCTCCGGGACTTGAGCCCAGCACCGTTCGTTTCAAATACTATAGCGTTATCCACTTAGCTACTGAGTCCAAATGGACTCTGGCTTATCCAATGAGCCTGTACAACACTACAAATGTATTCAAGAATGTACACTTAAGCCGTATAAGCAGTCGAAAAGATAAAAAATTGGTTAGATGTTGTAATCAAAGTATCTTGCCAAATGAATTAAAATTATCGAGCAGTTGAGGAAAAGCGAGTTTAGTGATACCGATTTTACTTTCAGATGATGAGATGAAGGAGAGAATAAGATCGTTTGCTGCTTGTTACTGAATGATAGTTGTTGAAATATAAATCCTGGATACCCTCATATATAATCATCGACTTAAATCGCTATAGTGAATAACGGAACTAAATAAGTCAAATACGTGAATGGATTTCGAACACGTGTATTTTGTACAATCGTTGGTCGGAAGCGAAGAAAAGTAAAGTGACGCATAATGGAGAAAACGAGTGAGCCAACTCAATTTAACCAAGCGTGAATCGATATTTATGGTCGAACAAAAATAAGTTAGAGACATGGTAAGCGAATAAGTGATAGGGTTAAAATGTGGCTTGAGAAGAATGAACAGATCGATCAGTCCAGAGGCTAGAATAACCTATGTGGGCTTGACATAGTACCAACCCCTACAAGATCTCCGAATTTACAAAAAAATAACCAAAAAAAAATATCACATAATACAAAGATCCGCAAGCCACGCCACGGATATTCCGACCATTTAGGTCAATACAGACTGTGTTTTGGAGATACTGGCTTTATAATAGTATCAGTTACACCGACTATGAACGGCGGGTCTGGATTTCTTGTTTGAACACATAAATATTAGTAGAAAGAGGCACCGAATACATACGCACCACAGAAGACACTGGATTTGTGTGTGGGCTGTGATATTGTCCGGGTGCCATGGTAGCCGGTGACCAATAATTGGTTCATGCTCCATTTGTTTCCTCAGGATCCTGGAGCTCACGTGTATCATTGATTTGGAATCAGGGCTTTCCAACTCACCTAGGTGGACCCTCCATATCTAGCAACCTGGTTCAAGCGCCGGACATTCGCTTTTTGTCCTCTCAATTTCGAAAACAACACTCGCACTGCGAGAAGGAAGTGAATACTACTTCCGTGCCACTGGCTGTATACGTGTGGCTATGTGAGAGTATTTGGAGAGAAAGAGCTGACTCTTCCCACCCTCAGCCATACCAGGGCATTTGAGGGCGGTCTGAATAATACGAATGGATAAAACTGTAGAGAATTTTAATTTGAATCTAACAGGCAAATGAATATCACAGAAACATCAAAACTGGTGTAAGCTAGAGAATCTTACAACCAAATAGTTCGATTTGATATACAGATATTAAATAGTGGTTAATCTATTCGAAATAATAAAAGTAAATATTAAAGGGTGGGTAAGGGTTTAAATAGCTCACAATCTTTGTGGATAGCATGAAAATGTTAGGTTAATTAAACAGATGGATTGTAACTAGTGATGGAATTCAGGATGCGCGTTTTGTTCTATCGAATTCATACCCATCGCACAAACTAGAGATTACATCTGGACTTAGCAGTTCAGTGGATTAAATGTTGTGCGTTATTTGAACATCAATATTGGGATGAAGGTACAGCATAAATAGGAAGTGTGCATCTTGGGTCCCACTATTACCTATAATCGATCTATTCAATAAAATATTATGATAATATGGCCAATGTGCACGTAATGCACCTATGCCAAGTAAAACTGAACAAAAGTCCAGATAATATCAAGAACGGGAAAGTTTTAATCGTTTACAAGTTAAGTGGTAGCTTAATTGTCTGAAACGGTTGAGTTTCAATAAGTTACTTGCTGGTACAAGCCTCACCTTGCATATTCCAATTTGAGCAACCGAATTATATCACATTAACCCTTAACCTAGAGAAATATATTTCGATAGAACAATGAGAAGACGGAGTTGATCAATCGAAATTTATAAAAGGGACTAATTGGTTTAAATTATAGAAAAATATACGATTCAAAGACAAGTGTAAATGGACTTCTAGGAATAACTAGGCTGATTGGTTAAATTAAAAATATTTCGAATTATTAGAGATGAAACTGTTGCTTATAGCAACCAATTTGTACAAAGGATGAAATGTAGAATTGACTGTATGGTACAAAGAACTTAATAAATTAAGGATGAGAACACTGTTTTTGTATCTATTAAAAAAGTGATGATCAGATTGAAACTTACAAATGCTGTTTCAGAATAACTGTACAGTACAACTTACCCTATAACTACCAGTTGAGATCATAATAGTCTGCAGCAATTAGTACCACTCCAAACAGTGTAGATAAATTATTTTACGGTTACTATGAGAGACAATTACTATCAATCGAAACACATGAAGAAAAATACAGTTTATACCATGTTACTGAATACTTTATTTCACGCTAAATGTGGGAGATGCTAAAGTGAGCTGGAATTATTTAGTTTTGCTTCAGTACATGTCAATTCTTTCTCAAGAAGATAACCTTGATGACATTTTTAAAAGTCATATTTCCCCAATGATCTTTGCCATTACCTGATCGACTGTTGTTAATTTTAGTTTGCTAATATTCTTATGTACCATATTACAATAAAGACGAGGTTGGTATATTTTAGTTTCTGACCATTTTCAAAATGCAAAACTATCTTGAACGTCCTTTCTTCGCTACCTCATATTACTAATGTTGAAGTGTTATTGTTTATTAATTGCCTTTCTATCGAATATACCACAGAACAAGTTCGTATTAGGATAAGCTCAATAGATCCGTAATTAGCAAGCAACAGGCTTATACAGGACCCAGTCACAAGAGATAACAGTAAAGGACCTTCCAATTATTACAAAATTGAAATATCTAAAATACTTTTAAAATCAAATTAGGTCAGATCAAGAAAATTGGAGAATAAAAAGCGAATGTCTGGCGCGTAAGCCGGATCAGTGAGTACAGAGGATCCACCTATTTTAGTTAGAAAACCCTAATTTCAAACCAATGGTGCAACATAGGCTCGAGGATCCTGATGGGAAATGTGGAATGTGAACCTATTTATGGTCACTGACTTCCATGGGACCACATTTTCTGATGTTGCTTAAATTCATTGTTGATTAGACTTTCGGGTCAAATGTTCAGGGAGTGGTCCCCTAAGAAAACTGTCTGCTTCGCTTTGGGGACTCAGGCAGTATCCCAGCCCACATATAAAATTTATCATTTATGTGGCACATATATATTTTGATGCCCTTTTGTATCAATGTTTATATGTTTAAATGAAATAGTTATCAATCAAAATATACCATGAACTCAATGTACGATGGATATTTAATTATAGAATATTGTATGGTAAACAAAATTTATCTGAAAAAGAAAAACAGAAGCAGTATGTCGACAAGACAGTACCTTTCAGAAACGAACGAAATTTAAAAAAAACACTTACTTCGCTTTATGTGCTTGATATTCCGGTTTATTCTGATACACGGAACTCGCGGAAAATGCCGATGGTGGCAAAGTTAACGGTCCTAGATCTTTATTGACTGATTTGACCCCATTTGGGACTACATAAAATCAATAAAACAAGCAAACAATCAAAAACGAAGTGAAAAGATATAAAAATCATTCACTATAATATCATCATCAATGTCACATAAGCATATTAATTAAACCGTTCTGGTCCTTACAAAACTGATTTATATGTACTTAGAAAGAAAGCATAAAATAATGGTTGCTAGACCTACACAGAGTGGACAGAGAGAGGAGTATTACATTTAAAAATGAAATTACGTACTATATATGGTGCGAAAACAGTTGATCATATAAAGATATACATGTTATATTGTAAATCTTACGTCATATTGATTTAGCCATAACTATACACAGAATACTAATAATATTAATAGTAGTATCAACTACTTAAGTAGCTAGTTGTTAAGACAACTGCAAAGAAACGGAACTTAAGCTATGGGACATAGCTGAATAGACTGATGAATAACTCCAACAAAGTAATTCAAGAATAAAAAGATATCGTAAACTGTTTTGCATAAAACTCAACATACAACTGAATGTTGTGAAGGTCGAATTGTTTCTGAAGTGATTTTGCATTTTATGCCATTTAAAACACAACAGTAAAGTCAGATTTACTTAGAAACGTAATTAACGAGTGTGTGTATATCATTAATAGCATCATGCAAACTTCTGTTATAAAAAATGAAACAAGAACCTGAGTATAAGAGAAAACTGGAAATCAAAGGATTTCACAATAGGTGAGTTTGTGCATTTAATCATGTATTTCATTGATGGTTAATCTTGTGGTCATAACTGTGACAATATCAATTTCAAATTGAATGCTAACAAAAAAGACATCCTTGCCTTTTACAGTTAAAAAGAAAGCAGTCAGACAGAATTTAAAAGTTAATGTGAGCAAACAGAAGAAGGATTGTGCATTACAAATTGATATTGAAAATTAAAATTGAATTCAGATAACTATATCGGAACGTCTAAGCATTAAAAACATATCAGTAATGTAGTCAAAAGATTAAACCGTCTAGTTAGTTTTTAGACTTAGTCTGGTAGCTTCATTCAATGTTCAATACAAGTGGGAGAGGGACAATATCCATTGTCTTCTATGAGCACGACCTAACCTCAATGCAAAGCTGGTTTACTGAAAAACTCAACCTCTACAATAAGAACTTATAGGGATAAATATATAAGTGTCCGAAGCTTTTCTCGTTTGTCAGCACCTTATAAATTAGTTGGGAGAAGTCAAACAGATATGTAATGTTTCTTTACCTTTCAAAGTTGTTCAACTTAGAGCAAAGCTGTACTGTTGAGTGTATGATGGAAGAAAGGGCAATCATAAAAGAAGCCTCAGTTCGTCCTAAAGACTTGTCACTAGTGGTAATTAGTTCAGGGTGACTTGATTTCTATGTGTTTGTCTTTATTAAAAACTACACTTAAACTGCCTTTCGTTGATTGAATAAGTAGATAATATTATGCAAAATACTTTGATTTTGAAGACCATAATGAATTATTTCACATTAAGAAGGATAAATCGGCACAAAATACATCATTTACCAGTCGATAAAGAAACCCGATCATTACCTTTTGAAAACAAACTATGAAAAACGACTGTTGACATACACATAACGTTATAAACTAAGATGTGTCTGTATTATATCGAACCAAGTATTTTTTTAATAAGATCAACTGTAGAGTAATAATTACGTATGTCTTAAACATCTTTCATTTGTAATGGTAAACGTTTAGTCACAATTGATGACTATTTTTATTTCAACAGTTTCAGTCAGGTTATGAGTCATACAAACTAGGTAATCGAAACTCAGACAGGTTAACACTAAATATACACATAAATTTGCATCATGATTTATACTCAGATCAAAATGTAATCAAGTGTTCAAGATATATCTTTTTTTTCTCTTTAGCCAACACCTATACTTAATGCTGTTCAAAGATTAATCTATCGAACAACGTGATACAATACACAAAGACGATGAGTCATTAGAGATCGGATTCGACTCAGTCTATAATTAATTTATGAATGACGTATTGAGCAAACAATATCAATTCATTGATCAACCAAAAAAAAGAAATAAACTATACAAGAATCTATTATTAAATGAGTCATTACGTAAGGACTTTTTGATCGATTCCCTATTTTTTTAAAAACAACAAATTTCTAATCATTTGTACTTTTACAATTTCGATCTAACAATTACAACAATGGAAACAATATATGAAGTAGTGAATCCATAAACAAATAACAGTGTTACGTAATCTTCCATACGTTATCAAGTACTAATAGTGTAACTGTGATATTTGTTAATGAATTTTAGGTTATATCTTATCTTTTTTTGCTTTAGTATTGTTTATTTCAATGAGAAATCAAAATGAAAATACACTTTTCATATTAGCATATATAAAGTCTAGTGGTTACGTGCTCGTGCGCGAAGCCAGTAGGTCCTGGGTTCGAGCCCCGGGTGGTGCGGGATCGTGGATGCACACTGTTGAGGAGTCCCATACTAGGACGAAACGGCCGTCCAGTGCTTCCAGGTTTTCAATGGTGGTCTAGCTTCAATCGACTCATGATTTCAATCTGTGAAATTTCTAAAACTCTCCACAAAACCCATTCTGATATATAAAGTAATTAAATAGATTAACCAAAAAACAATGACAAAAATCAATACACACTAATCAGTTTCATGAGTGATATTCAAAATTTTGAAGTGAAAAAAAAATTGGATACAAATTTGGAATTTAAATTAAAATCGTCGAAAAAATAAATAAATATGCCTGGAAGAAGTGGGCATCTATAATCTTGCACGTGAGACGCTAGTGGCTGGCTTCATGAGATATTTCCCGAAGTTCTAGTGAGAAGCTGTGGCCAATGAAGCTCAACTATGTTGTAGAGGTAGTTACTCACTGAAGACAATGGTGGAGCAATATTGTGGATTAGTTGAAGTTAGACATTAACACTGTTGGATACTGGTTCAGTGGTTTAGAAGTTAAGCATTTTCCCGCACTTGACCGAAGGTCAAGGGTTCGAGTTCCGCGTGCGGGATCGTGGATGCGCCCTACTGAGGAGTCCCTTACTAGGACGAAACGACCGTCTAGTACTTCTAGGTTTTCCATGATGATCTAACTTTAATCGACTCATGAATTAGACTATTTAAAATTACTATGATATCGGCAAAACCCTATTCGGATAAAAAATAAATAATTAAATTTCAAATTAAAAATATAGAGTATTGTTTAAAGATTATAAATAGAAAACAGATTTTAAATTTTGTTTATCTAGAAATGTAATCTACAGTGATATATCCACCAATAAACATAGTAAATTGAAATCCATTAGTTATCTATAATGTTGTTTATAATTTGAACCGTACTACATATTAATACATAATGAAATTACGAAGAATGTGAATAGTGGTGTACTCTAAGATGAATAGTTTGGTCATGAACCTTACTCAGCAGGACAAGAGGTGAGCTATTTAACAAACTAAATTTTATTTCAGTAGAGAGTGTTCAAAGAACATTCATCCTATTGGAATCTTATTTGATTTTCGCATTATAGAAAAAATGAATAGAAACATAACCAAGTTGATATTAGCTAGATTGTACTAGATGCAGAGAAATTCAAACTTATATGACCTTGAAAATATTCGACACATTCATCTTTTATTACTGTTGCTATTAGTTTATCAACATTTCGATCAAGTCAGATGAAATAGATGAACTCGGAGATTAGTGAAAACATAGATATAGTTACCTTATAATAAATAATTCATCGAATGGAAATAACATTGATAGAAGAAAACAGACATAGTGAAACCTAATCAATATAGAGAAAAAGTGTAAACAGGTTTATACAGCATCGAAGAGATGATCATAGTATTGGTATTTCCTTCCCAATGTATGACTTCTTAAAACAAATCTTATAAATAATTCGAATGTAAACAAAAAGCAACTTGTTTGTTTAGAGGCTAAAACTCAATAAAATAGGCATCCACCATATATGTAGGGTGTGATTCATCTCTAGAAATTGTTTACTATAAACGATAACAATACTTTCATGTAAAAATATTAGCTCTTAAATGAAGTGTGTAAAAAGTACAAGCAGAAAAAAGAACAACTATTTGATAGGCAAAAATAAGTCTGATTATAGTAATAAGGATGCAACCAATATGTAGTCGACGCTTTAGGCTTGGCGGTTTAAACCACTAAGTTCTACGTTCCAAGCCCGCTCCATCTACACATTTAAAGTATGGCTCATATCCAAGTGCTCAGTGAATGAGTCACTATGAGGACTAACGCTATTACCTCAGATTGCTCTAAACGAATGTAGATAAAAAAGTGAAATTTAAACTTGACTTTTAATGAAAATAGAACATTGTAAAACATCTTGTTAGAATAAGGCTTCGGTCTAAAAAGACTTGAAAATAGACTTATTGAAATATCTGATAACAATTTTGAGTAGTATCTTTGGAAATGAATGAAAATGCAGTGCAAATGCATGCATATTCCATAATATGAACATTTTATATATTTTATCCAATAAATATCTTTTTGGGTTTATTCTTCATTTCCACTAATTTTGTATTTTCAATATTCTCTTTGATTTGTCCTACAAAGTGAATTGTTTAGAAACAAAGATCAATGAATCACCATAAAATATTAGATCACATGTTTTCTTCGATTGATATACATAAGCTAGCCGTTGTTCATAGTTCCATACAGTGTGAACCATATTGAATATTTCGAAATTTAGTTATTCCACACAATTAGTAAGATTGAAATGAATATACTGAGGAATAAGAACTTTCGTCTAAATTTAAACGAATAGTTTCACAATATTTGGGCGCCGAGTTCATTTGAGACATTAAAAAGAAGAATATATTTGTAAAATCTCAGCGAATGAATTTTAAGTAAATCCAACGTTTCGCCTGGCAATCTGGTCCAATTTTGTTGTTTGATTATATTTTACTTGAAAAAGCTTGGACCAGATTGCCAGGCGAAACGTTGGATTTACTTAAAATTC